AAGTGACTGCAAGGCCACCTCACAGCTGGGGCCCCGAGTCCCCAGGAGGAAGGGCTTCTGTGACAGGGGGTGTCCCTCAGCTCGACCGACGCCCTCTAAAGGAAAACCAGGGGGAGCACAGCCTTTCTGAGGGTGACTTCGTTCCTTTAAGCCAGATGTCATTCTTTGGATGAGGTAATGATTTCTCCCTCCCTGGCCCGCCCACTCCCTCTTCTGAAATGTTCTATTTTCCAGGAATATGCTGGAGAGACTACTTGTTGTTCTCCAATATCTGTTCTCTCTCTCCCTCTTAATAGAATCTGTTTTTACTGATTGCCCAAAATAAAGCCAACATTTCCCAGCTTTCCCTGTGGCTGGCGTGTGCGTGCAGATGTACTGGGTGCATCTTCTGGGGAGGGGCGTGCCCTGCCTCTCTCTCCTGCCTGAGCCAAGGATGTGGCCCACTGGACTGTGTAGGGGAGGACCAGCCCCTAGGGATGGCAAAGAAATAAGATGAGGGGAGCCTGGTGTCCCTGACACCACCAGAGTCCTAGGGAGTCAACCTTCAGACTGTTAGTAAGAGAGCAACGAACCTCCATATGCAGTAAGCCATTGATCCTGGAGGTCTCTGTCAGATGCAGCTGAACCAACAGTCTAACAATTGCACCTTCTTGACTCAACTTCACCTTCTAACTCTGACAATGTATATTCAGAGAATTCATTTCATCTTGTCTACATCTGGGATAAAGACATTTTTAAAGGACACAGCAGCTCTTTAATATATCTAGATTTCTCTAAAAATATTCCAGCAAACTCACGTGATTGGAAAACTGGGCTACGTAGCAGAGATACAAACGGGGTTGTTCATAGGAGATTGGGAAGCAAACATCTCCAAAATGCAGTCTTCAGCCTTGTCTGCAGAATGTGCTCAGAGCCTGTCCGCTCCATCACAAGGTGGTAAGCCTGCGCAGAGACAGAGAACGCGGACGCACACGCACGGCAGCAGGCTGGGCCTTGGACATCCACAGGGGATTAGAAATCAGCTCGGCTGTGCGAAAACGGCTCTCCAGTTATCTGGATAAGAACTGAGCACAAGTGAGTCACCAAAGTTAAAGCTGAAAACAACAGCTGAGGTTGGACTAAGACACCAGTAAGCCTAAGCCATGTCTGTTATGTATTATTTTACAGTGTTTCAGGGAGAGGGAGCGGTTTTAGAAAGGAGCGATATGGAAGAATCTGTGTTGGATTAAGCCTCCCACCCTCTATATGTTCTGGGGTTAGAGTAGAACATCACTTTGGACAATGTTCTTTACATTAAAATCCGTTTCCATAGTCAAGAGTTTAACAACTACAGCTTTCAAAGAATCTTAGAAGTAGGAAGAAGACTATAGATGCTTTTGGATATGGTCATTCAAGCAGCTGTAAATTCACACAAACTGCATAGTAACTCGGTCTACACTTCCCCATCGTGGTGCATGAGGGTGCTCTGAGTAATCTTGTCAGAGGTAGGGATAACCTCCATCACCAGCACCCCCTGATTTACCCCAATAGATTCCATTCAGTCTACCCTTCCTTAACTGATTCTGGTTTAAAGTTTCATGAATTGTCTTTTTAACTAAACTCTACAATTTTTCCAGGAAACAGATTCAAACTTACTGGCTTGCACTGTACATGAGTCACCTTTTGGACAACCGGGTGGCCGTGTTCTTGATTCCCGTCTTCGGGCCACTCTCGTTTCTCGTGAGCTGTAAGAGCTTAAGGTTACTCAGTTACATCTGCAAGTGCCCTGAAAGCAAGTTTTCAGGGCCAAGAGACAAATATATTTTGTACAGCTGCTTACATGGAGTGCTGTCTCTTAAACTGTGTTTGTTTCATCCTTTCTAATTTTGAGAGCACTATTTTTGATGGAGAAGACATAGAAAGGAGTTGTTTGTTGATGAAAAGAAACAAGTATTGTGTAGAATAGAGCCTTTAAAAGATTGCTAGACTTTTCTAACATGGGTAAACAGCAGTGGTTCTCTCCCTTCTTTGGGAGAAGTAAATCTAGAGAGCTGACCCTCGTTTTTCTTGTATCTTCTCAAAGATGAAACTGACAACCTGGCCAAAATTTAGCAAAGGCAATTTTGGTCAAGTGGATGTTCTTGTAAAGCCTCAAAGAGCTGAAATGCATTCTAATCTTTACATCTTGCCCTTCTTTGGAGTCGGGATTAGGAAACATGGCCTCCAGGTGCTGGTAATGGCCTGTGGTCCCTAAGGTGTACATGGCCCCCTTGGCGAAATCACTTCTGACCCTCTCCCCTTCCACCTCCACCCAATACTCTTCGTCATGCTTCTGCATGCGGGCTTCTGGCTTTCTGTGCACTTTTACCATTTGGGGGCATTTACTGCCCCTCTACCACCCCACATTTCAGGGCTTCCATAGTCCAGCCTGAGCCCTCTGTTTTGGGGGCATCTGGGAAACACTGATTTCTTCCAGGTGTTAACATCTCGAGTTCCCCTTACTTTATATAATCTAACTTGAAACCAGATTTTCCCATTTTTTTCCATGTAAATTAAGGGATTCTTCAATTGCTGTCACACATTTTCTGATGAATAACCAAGGGCTATAGTTTTGCCTGAGCAATTTTCCCACCTTCTCAAATTCCACCTTAAAGTCTTCTCAGTGAAGTTACGGCATCTCTGACGAGCATGTGTTCCCCGGTCTGCACAGGGCCACAGGGCGAGCGCTGGCCGTTGCGAGGAGGCAGCCCCAAAACTGCCGCCCCTTTGTTGGATCCACTGCTGTTTGATGCCGAGGCCACGGCCTCCAGTGCTGCCCAGGCTGCCCGACGGCACAAGAGGGCGGAGCGCCGGCCCGCCCTGCCCTGCACAGGATTCCTCGCCTGGGCAACTGTGGGGGGCACCCCATCGGTCTGGCAGAAGCTTGCTCAGGACTGCACTGCGATCTGTTTTTCTACCCAATTCCTCCCTCCTCACCTTTCTCCCTTCACAGGGGTGAGAACTGCGTCGCGGCCTGGAGGCGTTCATGGCCGATTCCCGCTCTCCCCCTTTTTATTCTTCACAGGCTCCCCCTCTAATCCCTTAAACTTCCAACCCTGTTTTGGCATCAGTGTCCAGGGAGCCCCTTTAGAACCCTGAAATACTGATACTATAAACCATGGTTCCGAAAAACAAACTCTTATTTGCCACTATGTTTAAAACCACCTGTTTGCTTCCCACGCCCCTTCCAGGTAGGCCTGACCTTCAACTAGAAGCGATTCTAAACCACCACCTGGGCCCCGGAGCCTTGGTTTACCACCCAGGGCTCCAGATCACTAGAGATACAGTCAAGTTCTCTGTGCCCGTGTCCCCACAGGAGTGAGCAGAGTGGGTCACCGCTCGCAGACACGATCAGTTCTGGCACAATTCAAGTCCACGCGCCAGAAAGGCAGCCTCCTGTTCATGCTCAGGAGACTTAGGTCACCAGCTCCTGCCCCTGGCTTTGGTACTCGTGACATGACCTTTGCAGCTGCTGGTGACTAGCAAGCGTCATTAGTGCTGTGGGGAATAAAACCCGCTCTCTTCAGGAGGGAACGCCATATGCGATTTTATAACTTGTGTATGTGGTGTGTTTTTGCCTTCTCTGATTGAAAGTCCGTATTTATTTAGTCCTGCTTTGTGTAAACTCCAAAAAACCAGAATGGTCTGTGTTCACTCCTGTATCCCATAAAGGCACTCAGTCATTTGCTGAGCAAACTGCCCTACAGGTTCTTTCACATTATCTCATTTAAGCCTCAGAACAACCCTGGGAGGTAGGTATTATCTCCATTTTACTGAAACTTTCCCAAAGTCACTTGGTGCTCTCCAACCATTCAGATACCACATATTCAAGCAGTTTATCTGGGGTCAGATAATTAGGTTGCTTCTTGTGTTTCGCTTACATTTATTGAATACTCTGCTCTAAGCACTTAATACTTTTAGCTCAGTTAAGAGGTAGTTTACTGATTATCATCGCTGTTTTATGGATGATGAAACTGAAGGCTGGCTAGGTGACTTACCTAAGGTCACACAGGTAAGTCAGGGGGCAGGGCTGAAACTCAAACACAGGTGAGTTCAGAGCCCATGTTCTCAATTTTCACACCATACTGCTTCATTCCGCATGACAAGAAACATCATTGCCCCCCAAACGATCAGAATTTAAAGGAACAGATTGCTACATCTTTGGGAGACTAATAAAAGGTCAATAAAACATCTGGCAAAAGCAGTAAAACCACAGGGCAGAATTGCATTTTATCTCCCCTTAAAAGAAAAATAAATGGCTCTCAGTGTAAAAACAGCAGCTTGGGAAGATCAAGATTGACAGCGATCCTATCACTGACAGTATTCTGCTGACAGACACTAAATGACTCAAGGTACCACGACGAAACCTAATGATAAAAGGACACCACAAAACAGACAGCGTCCTCTCAGGCCGCAGTGAGAAAAGTGCACACGTTGTGTGAGTGAGAGAGGGAAGGCAGGACAGCACAGGAGTTTGGGGACTGAGGCAAGCATGCAATGCTCCCCTGAGGTTTGGTGGTCACAGCAGGTTTCCATTTGACCATTTAAATCATACATCACACTCCTGCATTCAGTACTAAGGGAAAATGTGCCAAATGTAGGTCTTTGGAATATCCACTGCTGTGCCACTCAGCCACCCTGCCACAGATGGGGGCAAACATTCAAGATACGGTATTTAACAACGAGCAGGACGTGGGCCCATCAGACCAGACCCTGGGCCAGTGCGGCTGCGTGGTCCAGCAAGCCCTCTCTGCCAGTTGCCATCCCTTTCATTGCTGCATCAGGAGGTGGTGGGTGGGGGGCTGAGGGACAGGGTGGCTGAAGCAGTGGGTGTCACTTGTAGTCAGGCCAGTGGTTATTCCTAACTGGCTATACGTACTTCATTTGGTAACTAGCAGGCCTATACCAATTGGCACAGCCAAAAATCAGCTCTGGACACACATTCATTGGGCAATAACTAGTTTCAACCCTTAAAGTGGAAATGTTTGACACTGGACTTTTTATTTTAAGTTACTTTAACGAATAATCAGGATATGAGAGCCATATCTCTGTATTTGGAAGTCCACTTTACTGTCTTGATGCATTAAAAATATTTTCTCTGAAATGTATTTTTCCTTTCTCTCCTCCGGGAATCTGATGGGGGTCACAACCACCCACAACAAGTAGATTTATTCTCTTGGCCTGTGGTCAGACTTTGAAGAACCAAGTAAGAAAACACTAGTTATCTTCATTTTCTATGATCATGCAGACATTCTTTACGGAAATGGAGCTGAAAGTTGAGCCGTGATGTGAAGCTGCAGGCCTCCCTCACACGGCGAGTCTTCACACACACCAGAGTCTGTGACATTTCCTTAAAGTAACACAAGCCAATTAAAATCTGGTTTTATCCTGAGTTGGTGAGCTTTGTAGTTAAAGCTTGTAAGCTATTTTAAACCACAGAGACCCAGTTTAGTTCAGGAGCACTCTCTGTTAGCAGGCTGACCACTGGTCGTAGGAATTTCTGCCTATAGGCAATGCAAACAATTGTTAAAAACTACTGGCATTTTGAATTTGAAAGAGTCTGGGACACTCACACCTATCCAGACTGGGCGCCCCAGTCCAGCAATGCATTGGTACGACCACCTTTTCCAGGGAGTGCAACCTTTTGGATGGCTAACAAGAGCCTTATTTTGTGTCTTACTTTCTATCAGGTGCAGGAATAGAGCTAAAAACTCACTACTCAGTAAAGCAGGTGGCTATCCCCATTTTAGACATGAGGACTATGAGATTCAGGGATGTGACTTGAATTTACTACTCAGTCACTCACATTCTAAATGGCAGTAATGGGTTTGAACCCAGGTCTACTTGGCTAAGTAGAAGCCTACGCTTTTCCTCTTCATCAGTGACTCTCAAATATTTTCCTCCTAATGAAAGGCACACGCCATCGGACACTCACACATCTGACACACAGACAGGTTTATCTAGGGTCATATGATTCTTGACCAGGTGGCTGAGTTTTCTTTCCCTCTGGGGAGGGCAGGCTGAAATGTGACTATGCTGTGGTCTTGTGGGGGATAGCCTTGAATCCATTCTAGTTCATAAACAATCTACAAACTTTGGTACTTAAAACAATCATTAGTTAATAACCAGCTTTGCACAGCTGGAGACCACATCACTCCAGAACAACTGCACCATCCCTCAGAGCTTCACACTTTAACAAAAGCACATCAAAAAAAAAAAAAAAAACCCCAAAAAACTCCTCAAAGTGCTGCCAAGAGCCTCCAAATGGCTCCTCCACCACCTCCCCAGGCAGACGTTGGACACTCAGCCTTGTAACCTATGTCAAAGGACAGCCAGTGTGAGAGCTTCTGTGTATACCTTTAAACCAGAAACTCCACTTTGTGAGGAATTTTTCAATAACCACTATTATATTTTTTGATTTAAATAAATAAAATGGATCTCAGGGTTTAAACCGTTGCCAGAAAAGATACTACAAGGTCCGTATCTCCTTGTTCAACCAACAGTGAGTGACTCAAGTTCGCTCTGCTTTCAAGCTACCAATTAAGGTCAGTGTATTTTACACACCCCTGAGCAACACCAAAGAGCACGGGTTAAAATGCTATATTTAAATACGGCATACTTAATCATTTCTAAATATTTTACCTCAACATTGTAATTATAAATTAAGCTTATCGGGTCTAAAAAATAAATGCCCTCATGGTACCTTTTAAACTGTGAGCAATTTTTCTGCCAATTACAAACAGGTCTCCCCAGCCACCAGTGCTTTAGGTCTCTTGGAGAGAAGTCCTGAGGGCCTGGACGGACACATCTGCCACGTGACACTGCCGTGCCTTCCCAGCCATGGTCTGCACCTGCTCCTTCCCTGCCACTCAGTTTCCACTCGTCCTAGTTTCTTGAAAGCATACTCCCCTGAGCTCAGAGAAGCACTTGGAGGCTGGCTGCTGCTGCTAAGAGCGTGTTTAATCCACACTGGCACTCAGCAGGCACTCACTGACGAGTGGGAGTTCAGGGCCCTGGCTCCCCAGCCTCTGGGCAAATTCAAACTTCTCTTCTGCAGGCCTGTTACCCTGGCACCCCCTCCCACCCCTACCTCTCCCACCCTTTCAACTGCTTCCTCTTACTCTTCCCAGCTCCTTCTCTACCCAGCCTCTAAAAGTGAGGGCTTTCCAAAGTTTTCTCTCAGCTGTCTGTGCTTTTGATTATGTACTGCCTTAGAGATACCTACTTCTATGGTTTCAAAGATCATCTTTATGCACATCAACGCAAATCTCTTAGTCCTGACTTAAGTCCCAGCATCGTGCTCCAAACTACATGTGCTAAAAAATGTTGCCACACGCCCTTTACCAGTCTACTTTTTCAAGGGCGTACTGTGTCTAACACTCTGGACATTTTATACACAGCATGGATCCTTTACACATTTCATATCCTTTTATTAATCTACATGGATCTACGCACCTGTAAGTTGCTAGAACTCTTTTGCTTAAAAATAAATGCGAAAGCAAGATCCCAAGTTCTATGCCAAAGAGCAATCACTTCCAAAGTGAGGTACATTATGTTCCAGGCTCTAATGAAAGATGATCTACTGGGATGTGGAAAGAAAAATGTTAGAATGTCTTTTCGTATTATCCTAATGTTTCCTTTTGTGAAGGCTTTATAAGTACAACGAAAGTACATACATACAATTTATACTTACATTAGTAGTGTATAGAATTTTTTTTCTAATAACAGACTTGTAATTTAAGTGTGGAGTCCACAGACTTGAAGTCCTGACAAGCTACATTTATATTATGACGGTACCATTTGCCAGGTGATAACACATCTCAAATCCAAATGTGATGAAGGCATCCTGATTCCTATCCTAACTCAACAGTCTCCCAGTGAAAATTTATAAGCATCAGAGAAAGATGAGGACAAAGATCAAGCAGTTTGTTATGGTAAAATAATAAGAGCAGCTGCTTCCCACTACTGTTTCTATCTTCCTCTTGACAAAATTTGATCAAAGCACAGAGCTATCCAAGCACCCCCAGCACTGTAAAGTACCTGATACCACAGAACTGCTGAACAGGAAGGGATCTTGGTGTCTGTCTACTTTAACCCCCGCCAAGTGCTGGAAAACCCTGCTGCACTGTTCAGACATAATCAGCAACCTTTCTGCTAGGAACTTCGGGAAGAGATGCTCATTCCCTCAGGTAAGGTATTCTGCTACTGGGTAGCTCCAGACATTGTGATGATTTTTTCTAACAGTGAGGTTATTTCCACTCACGGCTTCAGATCTGCCCCCTAGAACAGCAAAAAACTGCAAGGGAGACACCTGGAAAGTTGCTAACACAGTTTACAATCCACTCACTATCCCAGACTCCCTCCTCCATTGAATGGAGTCTAGCCAAGCAATGTTTCACTTAAAAACAACAAAGATACCCCAAATCAAACACCAGTTTCAAATGAGAACTGGCTATCAATGAAGGAAGACGGCTTTGTGTGATTAATGTGTTCTAAACCAAGGTTGCACTCCCACCTTTCAAGTAGAGAAATCATGTCTGACTCATAATAAGGCTACAATAAACTAACACACCGGCTCTCACATGAAGAAATGCCAAGACGGATTCCTGCCCATATTCTGGACTTACGCAACGTGATTTCTATAAATCCTAACTAGATTTACATTTCTCCCACTTAAACTGCTTCTTGTTGGTTTTACTTGTGTTTCAGCCTAACGTCTTTCTGAATTTTAATCTCTTTTGGCTTCCCACCGTACTGTGTCATCTGCAGACTGATCTAGCTCTCTCTCACACAAACACAATTTAACTGGACAGGACAGCTTTATGCAACTTGACATGTTGTTACATATCTATTAAACATATCAATACAGAAGTGCATAATTAAGATCCACTCAAATGTACTATTGCACTATGAAATCTTGCTATCACAGTTACAATAAATCACTCTGACTTGCTGAAATTAAGATACATCGTCAAGCTGTCTCTTGATTTCTTCACGTGTACTGTCACATGCATTTCAATGAACAATAAATACTTTGTAAACTATATTCTACATGTACAGCACTGCCTGTAACAAGCACTCTTTATGACTTAAGTACTTAAAATAATCCACAAAAGCAGTGAGAAGGGTTTCTTGCAATTTAGGGGATACTCCATTTGAAGAAAATAGTTGCATGCTCCATCACAGACATTCGAGTAGGCACAAAAATAAGTCAATTACTGTTCTTAAAAAAAGAATGGTATATATGATGCTGAAAAGGTAAAAGACCTCCAGGTGGCCAGAAGAGTTAGAATTGAAGAGTGTCAGGAAGTCAGACTTAGGCCTCAAAGGAATGGGAGAAGAAAGGTGGCACCCCAATTAAGAGGCAGAAATATTGTGTAGAGGTGAGAGAAGTTACTCAGAAACAGCAAGTAATTCACCTTGGCAGGAGCACGGGATCAAACATGGTAGCAGAAGGGGTTGGCTGTAAGCACCTGCCTGGGCCAGATGTGGAGGACTGGTCAGTCGCAGCCCAAGGGTGTGTGTTCATCCGGTGGGCAATGGAGACACCTAACAGCTTCAGCAGAAGGGGATGTGACTAGAACTACACGTGAAATTAGGCCAAGTAAGGAAAAGGGAGGTGATACTTTTTATCACAGTAGAAAGACATTTACCTAGAGACTAAGAGCAAATTTACAAGCCTTATGGCACAAATTTGAGAAAAG